TTGCCGCTTTCGTCCTGATTTGGAGTCTAGTTTCGCTTCTTCCCCACCCCCCACATTTCTTCCCCCCCCCCCCCCCCTCTTCGATCCCACCCTCCATCTCACCCTCCCTCTCTCCTTCCCTCCTCCCTCCCTCTCCCCCACCCTCTTCTCCCTCCCCCCTCATCCCCACCTCTTCCTTCCCTTCCTCCCCCCCCCACGCAGAACCCCATATTCGTTTGTAAGAACCTCACTGTAGTCGACTGTTTTTTAGTCGACTAAGAATGCCGCCTCTCCTTTCCGTCCCTCTTCCACCCACTCAGGACCCCATATTCGTTTGTAAGAACCTCACTATAGTCGACTGCAACGACAGCGCCGCCCGGATCCTCCGCGTCGCCCAGAATGAACGCAGCACCCGAATCTTCGGCCAATCACCAGTCGTCTTCTCGCCGCCCGTGCAACCCGAGGGAATCCTATCCGCAGTAGCAAGCGAGCAGCGCTGGCTGGATATAGCTACGAGCAATGGCCGCCCGTTCCGGTTCCCCTGGGTGCACATGTCAATCGACGGTCAGATGTTTCTCGTGGAGGTGATGGCGATGGTGCTAGTGGACGGCCCAGATACATTCCACATCACCATGTGGAAACAGTACCTCAACTCCTCGTCTCTTACCCGCGAGTTGCGGCTCGCCGCCCGCGCGAAACGGGCAGCCGAGAGGTCTCGAGTTCAATTCCTGGCGAACATGAGTCATGAGCTGAGGACACCTATTAATGGCGTGTTGGGGTATGCACAGCTGATGATGCAGACACAGCTTGATCCGGAGCAGCAGTCTTATCTGCAGAGTATATACGAGTCGGGAGAAGTGCTGCTGGGAACGGTTTCTCAGGTAAGGGTTTATTTTAGCTCTTCCATGAGAGTAAGTGAGGTGAGTGGGGTATGCACAGCTGTTGATGCAGGCTCAGCTGGATCCGGAGCAGCAGTCGTACCTGCAGAGTATATACGAGTCGGGAGAAGTGCTGCTGGGAAACGGTCTCGCAGGTGAGCGTTCATTGCAATATGTTTTTCAAGCTGCCAATCCTAGCTGTTTGTTATGTGAATTGATCTATCCGACTCTCCCAATCCCGTCTCCACCCCAGAACACCCTTCTTCACCCCTTAACGCGCTCTCGGAAACCTTACACCTTTGTCTTCACCCTTGACACCCCTCTTCACCCTTCCATACCACCAGGTGTTGGAGATGAGTCAGCTGCAGAAGCGGGAGGTGGTGCCAAGGCAGGTGCGGTTTGATCTGCACAGGGCTATTGGGGAGGCGGCTGGCAGCATGCGGCCTCTGGCGCACAGGAAAGGGCTGCAGGTGGGTGCTGCTGGGTGCAGGTGAGTACAGGTGTGTCCAGGTGTGTACAGGTGTGAGCTGACTCCTTACTGTGTGTCAGTCGCGGATAGGAAGGGCTGCGCAAATGGTGCCAAGGCGGGTACGCTTCGATCTGCACAGGGCCATTGGGGAGGCGGCTGGCAGCATGCGCTTCTGGCTCACAGGAAAGGGCTGCAGGAGGGTGCCAATGGGTGCTGGTGGGTGCTGATGGGTGCTGGTTCGGGAGGGAAGCAGAGGGTTCTGGATCAGAGGGTGTTGCAGGTAAGGCTGGGTAAAAGGGAGGTGTTGCCAAGGCTGGTGCGGTTTGATCTGCACAGGGCGATTGGGGAGGCGACTGGGAGCATGCGGCCTCTGGCGCACAGGAAGGGGTTGCAGGTGGGTGCTGATGGGTGCTGCTCAGTGCTGGTGGGTGCAGGGTGTTTTTTTAGTGGGTATTGGTGTGTGTAGCATGGTGGTGGGTAGCAACTGGGGGCTGCCTCGTTGCTGGCAGAATGTGGTCTCTTGCGCACGGGAATCCCATTGCCCTTCTCTCTTGTTCCCTGACATCCCCCCCCCTTCTCACCCCTCACCAGTTCGGATCAGCATGGACAGGGCAGTGCCGCACGCAGTCCTGGGGGACCCATCCATGCTGCGCCAGCTGCTGCTGCACCTGCTCTCCTCCTCGTAATGCAATTGGTGCCGATTCTCTCACTTCCTCCCTCTCCCCCATACATCCTCCCCCATCCCAGTTCGGGATCAGCATGGACAGGGCAGTACCACACGCAGTGCTGGGGGACCCATCCATGCTGCGCCAGCTGCTGCTGCACCTGCTCTCCTCCTTTCATTTCCCTTCCCTACCTTTCCTCTCCCATCGCCCGTCGCTCTCCCACCCCCCTTCCCCCCCACTCCAGTTCGGGATCAGCATGGACAGGGCAGTGCCGCACGCAGTGCTGGGGGACCCATCCATGCTCCATGTTGCCATCCGCCCCATGCTTCATGCCCTCGTTCCCATGCATCTCCCTCTCCCTCCCCTTCCCCCTCCCCAGTTCGGGATCAGTATGGACAGGGCAGTACCACACGCAGTGCTGGGGGACCCATCCATGCTGCGGCAGCTGCTGCTGCATCTGCTCTCCAACGCCCTCAAGTTCACCCACCAGGCACCGTGCAGCTCACCGTTCGCGTGCTGGCCCCTCCTGGCGCTGCTGCTGGTTTCTGCTGCCGGTGCTGATTCTCTCGCTTCTTCCCTCTTCTCCCGTGTACCCCCTCCCTTTGGCAGTTCGGGATAAGCATGGACAGGGCAGTGCCGCACGCGGTCCTGGGGACCCATCCATGCTGCGGCAGCTGCTGCTGCATCTGCTCTCCAACGCCCTCAAGTTCACCCACCAAGGCACCGTGCAGCTCACCGTTCGCGTGCTGGCCCCTCCTGGCGCTGCTGCTGGTTCTGCTGCCGGTGCTGATTCTCTCGCTTCTTCCCTCTTCTCCCGTGTACCCCCCTCCCTTTGGCAGTTCGGGATAAGCATGGACAGGGCAGTGCCGCACGCGGTCCTGGGTGACCCATCCATGCTGCGGCAGCTGCTGCTGCATCTGCTCTCCAACGCCCTCAAGTTCACCCACCAAGGCACCGTGCAGCTCACCATTCGCGTGCTGGCCCCTCCTGGCGCTGCTGCTGGTTCTGCTGCCGGTGCTGATTCTCTCGCTTCTTCCCTCTTCTCCCGTGTACCCCCCTCCCTTTGGCAGTTCGGGATAAGCATGGACAGGGCAGTGCCGCACGCGGTCTTGGGTGACCCATCCATGCTGCGGCAGCTGCTGCTGCATCTGCTCTCCAACGCCCTCAAGTTCACCCACCAAGGCACCGTGCAGCTCACTGTGCACGTGCTGGCCCCTCCTGGCGCTGCTGCTGGTGCCGCTGGTGCTGCTGGTACTGCTGGTTCTGGTGGGGGAGTGGGGGCGGGAGGGAAGCAGAGGGGTGTGGGTCGAAGGGTGTCGCAGGTTATGGGCAATGCAGGGGAAGGGCTACAAGGGGGCTTAGTGGGGAGAGAGTTGCAAGAGCAGGAGGGTAAACAGGAGCAGCAGCAGGCGGAGCAGGTGCAGGAACAGGAGCAGCAGGAGGAGGAGGCCTGTTCTGCTGCTGACTCTCAGGCGGTGTGGGGGAGGAGTGAAGGGGAGCAAGTGGGAGGGAGAGTGGACCTCGAATCATGACTGTTTCAGACGCCCAGTTGCTGCCGCAGGCTGCTGAGAGGAGCGCAAGGAGAGGGAGAGGAAAGCGATGGAGAGGGAAGAGAGGGGGAGGAGGAGAGGGAGGGGGAAGCGCGGGAGGCGGACGAAACGAGGGGGAAGAGAGAGACAAAGACGGACCCGGGACAGAGTTTAGGGCATCAAAGCAGATCACAAGGCTTTCATTGAGGTGGTGGATACAGGAGTGGGAGTGCCGCCCAACATGCTGCATCAAATCTTCAAGCCTTTCGTCCAAGTGGACGACTCTGCCGCCCGGGAGTATCAGGGCCTTGGGCTGGGATTGGCTATTGCGCAATCGCTTGTGCGGCTTCTGGGCGGCGAGGGGATACATATTGAGAGCGAGCCGGATAAAGGGTCGTGTTTCGCGTTTACCCTTCCTTTTGAGGTGTGGAGAGGGGAGGCGAGGGGTGGAAGGGAGAAGAGGAGGGGAAGGGAGGGTGAGATTGTGGGAGGGGAGGGAGAGAGGAAGGTGGAGGGAGAGGGAGGATCGGGGAGAGAGGTTCTCGAGGGGGGGTTCGGGGATAATGGCGGAGGGAGGGGCAAGCGAGCAAGGATAGTTGAGGAGAGATTAGATGCGGTGAGGATGGGTGGGGAGAGGTTCCAGTCGTTTGAGGCTGATACGGGGGAGATTGGCAGGTTTGTAGCAGAGGGGGGTGAGTGTGGGGAGAGCAGTAGGGCAGGGAAAGAGGGAAGAGGACGCGAGGAAGGGAGTTGCAGGGAGTGTGAAGCGGAAGCGAAGAGAGGAGGGTGGTGATGTTGCTGATGAGATGGGGATAAGGCAGGGAGCGTCAGGGGGAGGAGGTGGGTGGAGGAATGTGGGGAGAGGTGCAGGGAGGGGAGTGGGGAGAAGAGGGAAGTGATGAGATGGAGGAGGAGAGAGGGAAGAACAGAGGGGAGGGGAGGGGGGGAGTAGCGATGTATTGGCACAGAGAGAGGAGGCGAGGAGAAGGAAATGGAGGGTGCAACACGACAGGGGTTTTTTCAGTGGGGCAAGGCGTGCCAATAAGGGCCGTTTTGAAGCGCCTCAGAAGCAAGACCAGGGGTTTTCCAGTGGGGCTGGGCCGAGAGGGGAAGGGCGCTTTGCTGAATCGAACCCCTTGGGTGCCGCGCTGATCCGAACCACCAGCCCCATAAGCGCTGCTCTGCTCCGGTCCGAAATTCCTATAGGCACTTCGATAGGTGCTCCTATGGATGGTCCTGAGGGTGCTTCTCTAGGTGCTTCCCTGGGGGGTTCTCTGCGGGATTTCGCCAGTGAGCCTCTCTCACACGACCCTGAAGTGCAAGCCCAGGGCCATGGGCCTGCACCTGTGAGCACTGATGTCCCTAAGGGGGGCGTACACCAGAGGGGTGTGAGGCTGCCGTTGAGATGCTGCCCATGCATCGGCCAGGCTCGGGTTTAAGCTCGGCTTTAGGTTCGGATTTAGGCTCAGGAAGCTTGGGGTTGGGGTCGGGGTTAGGCTTTGGCTCAGGCTCAAGTTTAGGCCGGTCAGGATTAGGCCCAGGGTTGGGGTCAGGCTTGGGGTCAGGCTTGGGGTCAGGCTTGGGGTCAGCACGCTTGTGGCGCCTTCACAGCCGGTGATGCCACGTCAACCTGGCTTGGGTGAGAACTTTCAGAGAACATTCGTCTCTTCTCCTGCCAGCCTGGCAGCAGATGGGACCACTGCAGCTACAGCAGCGCTGTAGCGGGTGCGTCCTCTCTCAGGAGTTCCCAAGGAGCAAATGCAGCCACCGAAGGAAGAGCAGCTGTTGCAGTGGGAGCAGCAGCTGTGTCAACAGAAACCTCTAATGCACATCAAGCAACGGGTGCTGGGCGACATGGCGTGGTGGTAGGCAGCGAGGCAGTGAATCGCAGTGTGTTACAGCCAGTGGCAGCGGCGGCAACAGCACCAACAGCAGCCGCCGTAGCAGGTGTAGCAACTGTAACACGCGGCAATAAGGCAGGGCCGGCAGGCACGGCGGGTGCAGGAAAGACAGGCGCGGGGCTGAAGTGCCTTGTGGTGGACGACAACGCAGTGAACCGCAGCGTGCTGCAGCGGCTGCTGCGCTCGCTCGGAGCAGAGCAGCTGGTGTTGGCCCGCAACGGCGCAGAGGCAGTAGCGGTGTGTGAGAAGGATGGAGAGGGGTTGGATGTGGTGTTTATGGATCTGCACATGCCTGTCATGGATGGGTTTGAGGCGTCAACGCGGATTCTCGGGCTTTGGAGGAGTCGGTATGGGTCTGATGCGGTGCCGCGGACTAGTAGCATGTCGCAGCAACAGCAGCAGCAAGTTCAAGCAGTGCAGCCCTTGCAGCCCCAGCAGGTGCAGCTGCAGCAGCAAGATTATTCATTCCGGTACAGGCCGCTGCTTGTTGCAATCACGGCAAGTGCATTGGAGGAGGAGGAGGAGAAGTGTAGGAAGGTGGGAATGGATTTCTTTCTCACTAAACCAGTGAGATTAGCTTCTCTACGAAGTCTTCTCGACCATGTGAAAGCTGGCAAATAACTAGGGTAGTTTCTACCCTCTTCCCAATGTATTTCGCCTTTAGATGTGATGGGGTTGTATCTAGGCCTTGCTGAGTGAGGTGGCATCTTTGTCGTTCTAAACTCCGCGTGATTTGTTGTCCATTGGAAGTGGGTGTCGGCCGTTCTTACACTCCCGTTGTATAAAGTGTCCTGAAGTGCAAGCCGAAGCAGATTATATTAGGCTTGAAAACAGCTCAATGTAAGAACTTAGAGGGTTCATTAACAGCCGGGTATCGATAAAGCGTGTTACGCCTTACTGGAGAACCTTAATACGAAGCGGAGTCATCATTGCACTTCGGTGTTTCGCGAAGGCCAACACTCAAGCGCGCCACGAGTCAGAGAGAGTCGCAGGCCATCGCCCATTGGCGGAAATTAGGTTTTGCGACTGCCTTGGGATCGTCGGAGCTCTACCTGATGGACCGTTCATCCAGCCCTGGCGTCCCACCTGATTAGATCTGGTCAACCCTTTCTTGTCCAATCCCCTCATGACCTTCCCATTTCTATTGCTGCTTGAAATTATTAGTCTGTTCTGTGAAATTGCTATTGCTGGATTCTTCCTTCAGCTCGGGTCCTCAGAAGCCCTAACCTGGTCAGTGCTCAAGACCGATTGTTGATGTCGCTTATGTGTTTCCAGCGCTTGTCGCATTCATCATGGGTTACAGATCCGTTACTTTGGTTAGTTTTTTGGGTTATCTGGTAGCTCTTTCTTACCTCCTGTTATTTTTGTACGTGCAGTTACCATGGAGGCCTTCGCCACGCCATACCCGATTTTCTTTTATGATGGAGAGAAGGACGTGGACAAGGGGGGTTGTTGGAATTCATTCCTGTTTGACTTTCAAGCGGTTCCAGTCCATGGCTGGACAGAAGGCCGGTCTTCCTCCAGCCACTCTATCAACGGTGCTAGTTTGTAATAAGTCTTCTGGCAACACGGAGAAGAAGCAAAAGCTTCCTATTAACGAGCATACAAACTTCAGCATTATCCTGAACCAGCATAATCCAAGTCGCGAGAGGGATTGCCATTTTCTTGTGTCCTTGAAGAAGTCGAAGAAGGAAAGAAGAGCAGCGAAGAAGAAGGTTACAGAACCAGAATATGTTGAAGCGGAGGGGTCTGTTGCAGCTTCGAGCACGCCATCTTCACCCAAGAGCGTGGATGATGTTTCTCTATTCAAGGATAAGCCGGACTCTAGCTCGTCTGACGACGAGGCAAGTGACTCTCGTTCTGGGGAGCATCAGAAGCAGATACCTTCTTTTGACAAGAGTTCCTCAAATAATGAGACGAGACACGCAGCTGTGGAAACCATCTCAACAACCAGTTTCGGTGTGGACGACTGGATCTGCGTTGAAGATTTTGAAGGGTCAAGAGGCATCGAAGACTGCATCAGTGCAAGAAGAAGCCGTTAATAGTGGATGCGTTGCTGCTGGCGACATCGGTGCAAGAGGTGTTTCTGTTCAAGGGAAACCGCATCCATCTGTTACAGCACCCAATTCTCATGCAGGTTCTCCAGGCTTACCTGTTACGATTCTCAACAACCCACTTGACAGCAACATGCGGTCTTCTTCAGATGGTCAACGAACGATGGATGGTCTAGCGGACCTCAAGGGCTGGACATCCCGTCCAGAGTGGTCCCAACAGCTGACAAGTTCACAGCAAGTACTCTGGCCTCTGCAGCAGCTGCAGCCTCTGCTGTGGTCCAAGCACACTCATTTCAGCCTTCGCATGCGATTCCTGCTGGTGGCTTTTCACTGTTTGGACCTGATTTAAGCAGCGTTGCTTTGGGCAACATGTTCCACAACGCTATGGCACTGGACTTTAGATTTGGGATGCGAAAGCTGTGCCACTTCTGTTCTTTCTGCCAGGAGAGGCGCATCGTGTCGGTGCCTTTTCACTGGTGCATGGATGACCAAGTGGTGACAGGGTTCAAAGGCCCTTCACCAGCAGGGCCCATTGGAAGACGACACAAGCAGCACAGGGTGGGAGTAATGGCATAGTCTGGTTCCTGCTGTTTGTTGGTTTGGTACATGCTGTATATTTGGACACTGTCAGTGGGAGGGTCCTTTCATTGTTTGAGCACTTGTATGCAATCTTGTTAGGCAGCATAAGCCACAGCTTTTCTCTTGCAAAGTATTATTATGTCTCATGGTGATTGAAAGAAAGCGGCGAGTAGGGAGAATGTTGGCAAATTTTAGCACCTGTATGAGGTGCTACGTGTGTGGTGTAGATACATGCTTCACGAAAATTGTCAACATCAGCCGTTACGCGAAAGGCGGGAACAACGCTAACGGGAAGGCGTCAGAGTATTGCGAACCCCTACACGAAGTTCGTGGCCAATCCGATCTGCTTGCGCCAAACGATTTTCGGCCGGTTTTCGTGAGCCGTCAAGCTCCGGCAGCCCCCACAACCTCCACGCGGTTCGAGCCATCACATGAGACATTCGAGAGCATGCCGCACATTCGTCAAAAGCCATCATGCCTTGGAAATGGATGGAAGCAGTTATGGCGGGAGGGAGCTACTGCTGAGCTGAACTCTCGAATGCCGCATGCAAGCTGAGTTGGGGGCATTTCAATCGTCAATTCAGCTGCAACTCACTCACAAGACAAGACAATCTCAAGGGTGGATAATTTCAGTGCTCCTTTTCAGCTGAGACCTAACACAGCACTGCGTGAAGCTTCATTTCAGAAGGAATCGCCATTTCATCGTCAGTGCTGGAAATCCATGGTCGTCCGAAGGTCGCTGCTCTTCCCACGCGTGCTAGCTCCGAACTGACCTTATTTCCTCGCATCCCTTTTGCGTAACCTCCGTTACGTCATAACGGTAATCACCTCTTGTGCGATGTAACCATGGTTTCCAGTATCACATTATCGACTTTCCGCGTACGTCCCTAGTATTCTCGAGGTGGTCCTAATCCGGGAGAATACATCTCGAAAGCGTTATACTTGTTTAGTGGCCTCGCAGTGAAAGGTATTAGAAACTTTAGGACGCATCTCGAGTCGACTTGTTATGGAGGGCGACCTCGTATTTCCCGTTAGGCACTCCGCCAATTCGGAAGGTCCCTACTGGCGCGGCCCGCCATGGCGGACGATCCGCGGTGGCTCCGCGCAAGCGCCGCCGCATCCTCGACCCCGCGCACGTGGACGTCGCCGCTTCCCCCGGAGAAAGCCCCGAGCGGCGGCCTTTCGAGTCCGACACGCCGACTCGCAACGCGCCCCACGCGCTAATCAAAAGCGCCCCCGGCGCTTGGGTTAGAAACGCGCCTGGCGCTGCGCGCGGGGAAGGTTTGTTTTCCGCGGAACAGACTGGCGAGGGTTTGTTGTCCGGTCGCCGTGTGTTGTTTCCGGACGGGAAGTTTGACGGGGCTGGAAAGGGGAACGGCGGGAGCGAAGTGGGGACGGAGGGGAAGGGCACCGAGGGAGTCGCGGGGAAGAACGCATCGGGGGAAGTTGTTGGCGCAATGGTGGGATTGGCGGTTTACCGGCGACTGGCGTTTGGGGACGAGCGAGCGGAAGGGCGGGAGGGTAGCCGAACGACGTTTAACGCTGATGGCGAGGCTGAACGCGAGAGTGAGCAAGAGGACAAAGCAGGCGAGGGCAAGAGCGATAAGGCGGTAGAGGAGAAAGAGAGGGAGGTGGAGGAGGAGGTAGAGGAGGATGAAGTGGAGCTAGAGATTGTGTATGAGGAAGAAGGTGAGGGGGGGGAAGCAGACAGAGGAGGGTGGCGAGGAGGATGTGAGAGGAGGAAGCAAGGGAGATGGGGAAGAGAAGGATCGAGAGAAGGAGGTCAGAACGAGGAAAGATCAGCTCAAGGTCTCAGGAGACCCAGGGATTGCCAGAAGCGCCGCTGCCGTTGTTCCTGCTACCAGTGCTGCTGTTACCGCTGCCGCTGTAGCCGACAGTGCCGTGACTCGTTTCTCGTCGTCTAATAACGCGGACGGGGATGACCTATTCCGCTGGAACCGCATCCATAGAGGGAGCACCGGGCCCGGGGGCCGCGGAAGCGGATCCAGTGGGCCCAAGACACGTGGCGAGGTGCTGGCAGCCATGGTGGGCGTTCAGATGCCACGTCAGCAAGGGGTACGAAGCATGGCGCCGGATATGGAGGGGCGGGTAACGGCCGCAGCAGCAGCTGCAGGGGGGGTGAGAAGTGGACGGGCTGGTGTGTCCCCGATACAGTCACCTTCGAAAGGAGCAGCTATTAAACGTGCAGTGAGAGGGGATATAGGTGCAGAAGCAGGAGGAGGAGCAGGAGCGAGGGCAGCGAGAGCGGCGGCAGGGATGGCAGCAGCAACGGTGGCGGCGAAGGAGGAGGCTGCCGAACTTCCACCACAGTGAGTCCCTCGCTCCTTCCCGTCTTAAACCGTCTTGAAAAGGCCTGAACCGCCCAGTATCCTCCAGTATCGCCCTACCCCCTGTTCTGTCCCGTGTCACCCTGTACCCCACTGTACCCCACTGTACCCCCCTATCTTGGCCTGTTCTTCTCCATCCTTTTTTTCCAGACCTTTCCTCCAGTCCCCGCTCGTTTTAGCCCTTCTCCTCCTGCCTTGGGATCCACCATCGTTTTGCCTTTCCCGCCCCTTTCTCCGCTTCTCCTTCCCCTTCCCCTCCCTGCCCCCGTCTTTGCCCCCTTCCTCTCTCCCGTGAAATTTCCCAAAACGTCTCTCCCACCTCTTTCTACAACTGAGAAGGTTCCTGGAAATCGCGCAGCTGTTCGACGCGCTGGAGCTGAGCTGCCGCCTGCTGCACGCGAGGAAGCTTCTGTGCTCCTTCCGGGCGATTAAAGACGCGGTGCAGGACGTGACTAAGAGGCGCTTCACTCAGCGGCACCTGGCGCAGATGTTGTTCGTGGGGGGCGGAGGGGGAGGGGCAGGGGGAGGGGGAGGGGGAGGAGGGGGAGGGGCAGGGGGAGGAAAGGGGGGAACGGGAGGAGTTGGCGGAAAGGTAGAAGAGGGAGGAGGTGGAGAAGGGGTAAAGGAAAAGGAGAAAGGAGGAAAGGAAGGGAAGGACATATCACTGAGTCCTGTTGCACTTAGCGAAACAACACTTAGTAAAGCAGATGCTTTCAGCAGGGTATCTGCCCGCCAGGCTGTGCTAGGCGTGCCGCTGCTTAGAGTGGAATCGGTTCTTCTGCCCGAAAAAAAACTCCTCTCCTGTGAAATTCTCAGGGGCGGCAGGCAGGGCGGCAAGGTTTGGACGTAGCGTGTGGGATCTGAAGATTATATTGGAGAACGAAGGGGAAAGGAAGGAGGACGGTGGTGAAAGTGATATGCCTGCAGCTGCGGATGGTGGTGCTATTAGCGGTAGTGGTGCAGGGGGCGATGGAGGGATAACAGGAGGCGGATTGGCAGCAGGCATGGCAATAGGCACAGGCATGGCAGGAGGGAGGGTGAGGAGCGAAGAGAGTGACATGCTGTGGCGGAAAAGAGAGTTCCGAGCCAGGCTGGGGAGACTGGCTCGTGCCATGGGGGCAGTGGGAACGGACAAGGATGTGACTGCAGCAGATGTGACTATACCGGAGGAGAGTCTGCCAGACCCACTCTCTCCCTCCCCGGCATCAGCTTTAGAGTCTCGTGCATCTGTTAATGCTCATGCCACTCACTCTAGTCACACTCATTATAGTCACACTCGCTCTACTCACCCTGTCAGTCGCAGGAGTCTATTTCCTGAAGCATCCACCAACCCTTCCTTTGCCGAAGCTGGTCTAGGCTCGGCGCCAACAGCTGCACCCTTTGCCAGGCCTGTTTTGCAGGTGCGGCCAGTTTCCCCAACCCATCGCCATCGGCCTGCTTCGGCAGATAGGGTCGGCAGGAATCCGAACCCAGACTTGGGCGCTCGTGTGCGGGTGGACCTCACTCCATCGTTGGATCGGTTGGCTCGCCGGACCAACGTGGGAGGTTTGGCAGGAGCAGCCGAAGCTGGGTCCGAGCAGGCTAGGGCAGCACGGCAGCTGCTGTTTGGAGGAACAGCTGAGGTTGCTGGGGCTAGTGGTGGGGCTTCAGGTGCATCTGGTGCTGCTGGTGCTGCTGGTGCTTCTGGTGCTGCTGGTGCTGCTGGTGCTGCTGGTGTTGCTGAAATAGCCAGAAAAGGAGTTGAGGAGGGAGAGAAGGAGGTGTGGGGTGGTGATGTGGTAGGGGAGCTGGGCTCACTGCAGCAGCAGGGAGTGGGGAAAGGTGGAGAACAAGATGGAGCGGTCGGGAGGGGTGGAGGAGACAGCGATGGGGAGGGTGGGGGAAGTGACTCGGAGATCCTATCTCGCCTGCCCCAAGGGCTCGTGCACTCGGTGCGTCAACCTTTCTCACATTGCAGTAGTGTGCTGCGAGTGTAACTTCTTCTGCCTCTAGCCTCCAACGCTCCCTTCCTCACTCCCTCTTCTCATCCTTCACTCATCCTTCCGAACCCAACTTCCAGGTTCGAAAGCGTGAGGAGAAGCAGCGTGCCGAGGCTACGGACGAGGCTCGGCAGGCGCGTCGGCGGCGGCTGCTACTGGCCGAGCTTCCTCTCCTAACCGATATGGTAGTCGCTCTCTTTGCCAGCTGTCGCGCTGCCGTGCTGCCACATAGGGACCTTGTGGTCCGGCTGGTGGCCAATCACAGCAAGCAGACCAACCAAGGTATGATCTTGTGGGGTACAAGAATTTATATCACCATGCGTAATACCTCATGTGACCGTGAAAATGCTGAGTCACCTCTCTGTTCTCTCATCACCTTACCAGATTTGTTGCAAGTTTTTTCCACGATTGACAGCGTTGGGTGGTTATGCCTCTAATCCCAGTGTTTCATGTTATTTCTGACCCCCATGCTTCAGAGGAGATTGAGGAACAGTTGAAGATTCTAGAGGAGATAGCGCCAGATTGGTTGTGCGCTAAGATGTCCCTTCGAGGGGAGAAACTATATCGGTAAGTGCATTCGTTTATGAATTAAATTCAATCATCTCTCTGCCTTCGTAGTTGCTGTGGCAGGTAACCATGATGCTGTTTTAGCTACAGTAAAAATGCATGTGGTAAAAATGCTTGGCTCGGATAACTGATGTTGCGTCTGGGTATGTCATGGTTCGTCTTGCCTTGCCCACAGATTGTCCAAGGTGGTGATGGCCGCACACGTGAAGGCGCGGGTGAAGGATGAACAGAAGCTTGATCCAGATCAGCACCAGCACGCACCATCACGCCGTTCTATGCATGGTGCTTCCGAGGTTAGAAGGAGCTTGTTTTAGTAGGCTCGAGCAGGGAATGAAGCGTCTCCCAAAAGGAAGGGTTGGATAGGTTCACAAGGCATGTTTACTAATAAATCAGGTGCATAGGTTCACAAGGCCTGTTGATAAATACATGCATAATTCCAACTTATCTGAAGGTGTATGGGGGTGGGAGAATGTACATGAGTATTGAGAAGTACACCCTGCTTCTCGCTACACCGAACTGTGCCGTACAGGTGGAAAACCTTGTTATCTCTGATTTGGTTTATTGAACCATACCGAAACGTAATTTAACCACCGTTAACCGTGCTTTTCCCATCTTGAATTCATTATAACCGAATCCACAATGGCGAGAAAGAGGGTGTAGTAGAGTTTGCTGCTGTTTTAGGTACCGGTACACGTGTCTAGATTTTGTTGCTAAATTTACTGTGCTATACAAACGAATTCGGAGGTTCAGGGTTTGTGTTGTACGCCATCAGAGCGGATCGTCCGAGGTGGCACGCTGCGGAAGCTTGTGCTGACAGCAGATCGTTTTCCCCACGCATGGCGTTCCACAAAAGGGGGAACGCGCACATTTGACCCGCCTTCCGTTTGATACCAGCAGAAAATCGTCTCCCGCTCCGTGGTTAAAAGTGATTCTCTGCAATGCTGCGAGTTCTACTACGTTGGGATACGGTTTGTTGTCGGATCTTGCTGGTTGCCTTTGTGCTGCCGTTTCAGAATTCCACATCTGCTTCAGATTCAAAAGCTTCTCTGAAAACGGTTTCTGAGAAGTCCATTTCTGAGCTTTGTCATTCTGAAGCTGCTGCTTCTTCCGCCGACCTCCATACGTGCCAGACCCCTCAGCTTCAGCAGCAAACAAAAACAGACACAATGACGGTCAGTGATGGTCACATCCACATTTTTCCGTGTCAAGTTCTGCCTTTGTCTGTCTTACTCCAGTTGACAGAGATTCTGCTTCTCGGGGCTCCAGTTCCGTCTCTTTGTGCAAGCAATGATGTTATCTAACGCGATCCCTTTTTCTCGGTTTCAGGAACGATCCTACGTCATGATCAAGCCCGACGGCGTTCAACGCGGCCTTGTAAGTCGCACTCCGTACCTCTGAAAGTTCTGAAGAACCCGACGTGGTTTCGATCAAACTTCTTGCAAGCCATTGTTATATGCTGTATGAACTGGCTGCTTGAGAATCTCAAGGGACCGATTCGACCTGTTAATTGCTGCCCCTTCGAGAGTTGCTGTCATCTTGATCCCTCACATTGGACTCCCCATCCTCCTTCAAATCCCGACCTTCCCTAGAGGAACCTCTGCTCATACAGTCCCTTGGGATTTTGTCACTTATCTTGCGCGCAGGTCGGGGAGATCATCGGCCGGTTCGAGCGCAAGGGTTTCGTTCTGCGAGGCCTGAAGCTGTTCCAGTGCCCCAAGGAGCTGGCCGAGGAGCACTACAAGGACCTTGCCGACAAGCCCTTCTACAAGGGTCTCGTTGACTACATCATCTCCGGCCCTGTTGTCGCCATGGTATGTTCAACTCTCGGTTGTGCTACAGTATCTTGCGGGTTTAGAGAACTGGGAATTTGATATCTGAATGGTCAGGTTTCAGGCGTGGTGTGTGCAGTTCCATATATACGGATACAGGACAGAATCACATTCTAAGCATAGACATATCGCACCACACTCCCGCGAGGCTGCAACTTCCGCATGAGCACATATAAAAATCGCATCATTAACTAATTTGAACATCACGCTGTTGTCTTGCAGGCCTGGGAGGGCAAGGGTGTGGTGGCTTCAGCTCGCAAGCTGATTGGCGCCACCAACCCCCTTGCTTCCGAGCCCGGCACCATCCGTGGTGACCTTGCAGTCGAGGTTGGCAGGTAAGGTTTCTAGTCCTCGTCATCTTATCATCATTTGCTGCATGCGATTGGATCTGCCAGCGTTCTTTTGGTCGATCACATTATACGGTATCAGCACCTTGTTCTCAAGTGTTTTTATACGTCTCTTCTATTCAATATATTCTGCTCTTGCCTAACAGGAACGTCGTGCACGGGAGTGACAGCGTGGAGAATGGCGAGCGTGAGATTGGTAAGTACATGATTCCTGCAAAGGTTTCTGAACATTCTCGACATGACCTGTAGATGTTCCCATATCGCAGTGAATGAATTCGTGCTCTTGCTGAACCAGACTTTCAGCCCTTTGGCCTGAACCTCAATCCAACTTGTTTCCATGCGCTCTCTCACGTTGGCAGGCTTGTGGTTCAAGGAGGCAGAGCTGATCAAGTGGGACCCTACACTTCTCCCTTGGCTGCGCGAGTAAAGCGTGAAGCAAGCTTAAAATACAGCTGGATTGCATTCAGCTTCACCAATTTGCATAGAGTGTTGTCTTCGGTGTACTAATACAAAGCCATGAGACAAATCACTTGCTTTTCAAGATGTGCGACAATTAACAATTGTTCAGATTTAATTGGTCCTATAATGACATGGAGCAGAAAAGGCATGATTCCTCCAGAATCAGCCAAATCTACGGGACCTATCGTGAAACAAGCAGAACATATCGAATCATTGTCTACAAATTTCCAGATGATTAAGTTAGACCAGTGAAACTAGGGTGTCAGTAGTGAGTGAGTAGAGGCTGCAGAGGTTGTGGTTTCTATCTGAGCAGACAATGAAACCTAGCTATGATATAGCAAGGGACCCAGCTAGGTGCAGACAACCATTACCAATTTTGCCCTCTCTCGTGTCTGCCTTCTGGATCGATAGTTGGAATCGCACGCACATGCACCCGTTGTTGGATTGACAAAAAAATGGCTGTTCATGAACTTGCATTGCATGATCATTATTGACAGTGCAACTTGATCAGTTTCAAAGGCCTGGAACACATCACTCCCTCAACCACGGGGTTGAAACAGGCTCCCAGTCGCACACCTCACCCTCCTTGAACCAGAGCCCTGCTCAGAGGGGTATAAAATGCATCCAGGGGAGAGGGAGGAATGCGATGGGGTGCATGGGAGTGATGCAGGCATACAGTATAAGAAGTGGCCAAACATACTCGCATTGAGCTTGACACGGAAAGAGAAATAGGCACAGAAATGTCACCAAAGCCGGGGGAATGTGGAGAGTAATTGGACAAACAAGGGTGAGATTCGGGAGGGAAGAGAGATGGAGGGTGCAAATTGGCATAACATAAGTAGATGAGAGAACTCACCAATTTCGCGCTCGCCATTCTCGATGCTGTCACTGCCGTGGACAACATTCCTGGATATACAGAACAGGCACGGAGAATGTGTTGGTTATCTCGAATGTCTATGGCCTGAACAGATTGTTCTATCAGAGCAAGAGACTGCGTGAGCATTCCATGAATGCATGCCCTGATTCTAGAGTAACCATACCTGCCAACTTCCACTGCAAAATCACCACGGATGGTGCCTGGCTCCGCAGCCAAGGGGTTCGTGGCGCCAATCAGCTTGCGGGCTGAAGCAACCACTCCCTTGCCTTCCCATACCTGCCAGAAACAGGAAAGCGGAGTGGTACGAAGGTCGAAGTAGATGATCCAGGAACGATTGCCAGAATGCAGAATGCGGGCAGGAAATGTGAAGTTACACATTGGTTCATATCTTACCATGGCGACAACTGGGCCTGAGATGATGTACTCAACCAGCTTGCCATAGAAGGGCTTGTCAGATAGCTCCGTGTAGTGCTCCTGCTCATGGATGCGACAAGGGGGAGGGGAGGGGTGAGGGGGGGGAGGACTTTTAGGTGGCGAGAGTATTGAGTGATTACAGAGGAGCCAAGTTGTGGTGATTCGATTGACGTGCCAGTTCTAGATTGCTCGCCGCTCTCTCTCCTTTCCATGCTGGCAACTCGAAACTGTGTCGATAGCACATTGTACCGCATCACCCCCTAGCCATCATACAAACTCTCACCTTAGCAAGCTCTTCAGGGCATTGGAACAGCTTCAGTCCACGGAGGACAAAACCCTTCCGCTCGAACCGAGTGATGATCTCACCCACCTGCAATCACCATGACGGGCACCGAGACAAGAAATGGAATCAAATAATGTAATGCAGGAACTTGCTATTCGCACAAATGTGAGCGTCAGTGATCAATTGCGCTCCTGGAAACATGATAAAGGCGAGCTTTGACTCACCAAGCCTCGCTGCACGCCGTCGGGCTTGATCATTATGTAGGATCGCTCCACAGCCTATGGTGGGGAAAGCATGAGGGAATGTCACGCAGATCGCTGAGCCATGAGCAATTGATTGTCAATAAAAGCAATTATATGAATCTCATTTGTGTGTTTATAGAAGCTGGGCAAGGTAATGACATTCGTTAAAGAGCTCTTGATTTTTTTTTCCAAGTAACCTGCATATTGCTTGCTTAATTGATCTTACTGACGCACTGATTGAACAAGGCCTGTGCACATACCTCCGCCATTGCAGAGGTAGCTGCAGCCTTGCGGACGATGCGCTTGGAGCTCGCCTGAGAAAAACGAATCGAGTTCACAGATATAGAGGTGTGCTTCAGAGCTGAAGAATGCTCACACTGCGCTGTTCTCCTGACCCATTCATAGAAGTTTTAAGAATGAGAAAGTAGTGGGTGAATCTTAGCGACAGCGGGCCAAATTTACCTTGGCCACTGCCTGTCTAAGCTCCTGGCTGCGCCCAGTCAGTCGTTTCTCAGCAGCAAAGCTCAGCCTGCCACCAAAGCAGACACTAGCTCTCACAGACGCATTCGTGCGAGTCTCCTGGCAGGAAGCCAGGGAGGCGACAGTGGCTGCAGGCCGAGCAGACAAAGTGGCTGCCATGACGAGGATCCGGAAGTTAGGTTGACGCGACTACGAGAGACTTACGTCCCCAAAAGGTATGGGTTTGGTGGTACAACAGTTGAAGAAAAGCTTATGGCTTCAGGAATCAGAAGGAACTACGACATCTTGGAGCAACTGCAGGTAATTTCTCAGTCGCTTTCGCTTTCGCTCGTGGCTGTTAGTATTCTGCATTTCGCACAATGCTGTTCGCATTATGCCTATCCCGCTCTGCTTTTCGCATTCTGCTTTTCGCCCTTCTCCATTGCATTTCGCAATTTGCCCTCCGCATTTCAAACATCGCACCGAACAGAATCTGATCTGACCATAATATGTTGGCATTTCTAAATGTTGCAAATGGATTGCGTGCCAGGTGGATCACCACGTGGCGTGAAACCAAACCTCCAACCTAATGACGTGGTTCTTCTGGTCCTAGCCTACGTGGACAGTTTGGATCCGTTACAGTCCCTCTCGTGCTTGGAGAAAAGCCACTTCCAGAGGTTGTGATGAACCATGCCCACACAGTCTGGTAGTGGAGGTTTCGAGGGGTGACAGCAGCCAACGTCAGCTGTCACCGAGGAGACTGCTGCTGCAACTTCCTTCCTCGTCGGCACCACGTGCCAGAAAAGTGCCACCGAGAAGATTCTCCTTAGCCACAAGCAACCACGCCGACGTGACGTGGCCGTAATTCCACTGGTCAGTCAGGGAGCGGGCACGTTTTCCTGACTCTCTCCACGAAAGCCCGTAAATCACTCAAGTCAGTCTGCTGAATCCGCAATTTCCTTTGCGGTGGGTAGCACGAACAAGGTACACTGGAAACATCTACAAATGTTGACAACGTAAACGTTTCTTGAGGGCAAAGTTCCTCGACGTGGGTGGTGTCCCCTGGATTGCTTTTGGGTCTCAGTGCCTGAAATTGGAATAATCTATTGGACTCATGGAAATAGAGATATAGAACACGTTTACTTGTATTTATGTGACCTCTGGTGTAAGTTACTCTATACAATATCTGTAGAGAACTCCCATCCGCGATTCCATCACCTTCTGACCAGCCTGGCAGGAGGTGTCCAGATGATTCCTCCATTTCGGGAAAAGATGATCCGCCAGCGGCATCGTGCACACCTTCCCGCTGTTGTCCCTGGATTCTCCGTAGGTCACTGGTTCACAAACAAATGTAGAAGTTCCCTACGCATATTCGTCAATCAGACAACTAGCATCTTCCACTCGTTCCTTCCATCATCAACCCCTACAGCTGATTCCATTCTTTCCGTGATCACTAGCAGGCGGTGTTCCTTTCGCATATCTGATCAGCTCCCTCAGTTGATATTTTTATTACTTCCTCGTTCTACACACCACAATGGCCCTCGCCATGTCACCTGCTAAGGCTCTTTCTTCAGCTTTGACTTCGTCCTTCGTCGGGCGATCCGTATCATCGGTGGCGTCTCCAGTGCAAAGACCCAACTCCTCCGCGACTCAGTCTCTCATTCGTGCGGAGCTAATGTCTTCCGATAGTGCCCCCTGGACGGGCGACTCGTTACGATCAGAGTTCTCTTCAGCAACTGCTCACACCCCTGCCCCTGGTCTTCATTCGTCAAAGCGATCTCCTACCACACCATCGGCGTCCCTCGCTGCCGTTGGACCACTTGACGAGGCTGGGGTATCTATCCGGGTGAATGACTCGGCTACTCCCAAGTTCACCCCTGAGAAAGCCAGGCTGCTGCGTTTGCGGTTGAAGGAGAGCGAGGCCCACCACGACAGGATGTACCACTCCGGTCTTGCGTCAAGACTTGCTTAAATTCGCTGCGTCCTTAGGCCTAGGTCGAGTTGTCTAGATCAACTGCTGCGTGACCAGTACACGCTTCGGCAAACTATGCTGTATTTGATTGATTAAATGTAGTCTTTTTGTCTATAAAACGTGTGCAGCTCTGAAATTTGAAAATGTATGAATATTGATTGCCCAGCTGAGTTCACATGCGTCCTCTCGGAGAAGCACTGGTACACAACATGAATCCACGGCTGATGGCAGATCCGTTCCATTCCAATGTTATCATAAGAATGTAACGCGACATAACAGCCCCAATTCGCTTTCTGATGGATCGGTGCGTGGATGGAAGATACCACGCTGAAGATTGCCCCTGTCTGCACTATCACTGAACTGTGTAACAACTGGAACATCCTGCCATCACACCCCAGTTGCACGTGCGAGATTCGCCTTGCTACTACTCATCATGCTATCGGCACCCGTGGTTGTGGTACTAATGTTTTGCCCTCTTTCATAACTCATGCTATTTCATCATTTCATCAGTACCCAAATTCCCAGTGCTAAGTGAGAAGATAGAAAGGCATCTGATTAGGTATATCCCATATAGGATAATTTAGATTGCGTGTAGGTAGGGAAACATAGAAGCCGCTATCTTTTTTAGTGGTCGCATTGAATTGAACATTTGACATTTTCAGTATAGAATGTGGATACAAGCTACATTTTCTGTAAGCATCCCCATTTGGAGTGTACAATG